AACCCGGCTAGACACAAACACCAACAACTGTGTGATGCAAGATGACTGTCCAAATTAATGTCAAATTAATGGTCTACAGTGGTTTATCGACCTGCTTAAAAGCCGTCAAAATCAAGAATGACACCCCGTGCACGTGTATGGGGCTACTGCGTTGTGCACGTGCATCCCGTGTGTTGTGTTCAGGAATGGTGATAAAGAGAAATGGTGGTGCGTTCATAAGATGTCTGTCTTTAAAAAGTTTGTTGACGCTTATACTTCCTACCCAAATTGAAAGTTCAAGTTCCCCTACTTTTTTTGAAGAGCATATATAGAGTGTATCTCTCTAGTACGTATGTATTTGTGAGTGAGAAACAGCAACATAACTGAAATACAATGTACTATGACACCAGCTTCAGCCTAAACACCAGTAACAGTAAACGCCAGCAGCAGTGGGCGTGGCCATTAATTTACTAAGTAGGAAACAGAAACACCAGACTCTCGACATACACATGGTAAACTGGTATCATACACAGTGTGTCCCCTGAAATAATCTAGAAATACAGCCAACAACTCTTATAACGAGCACGTTTATAACGAACTGACGGATATAACGAACAGTATTTTCCCCGGCCACTTGCTGTATGTTATAGTGAGTTGAGTGTGGTTTTACGCCGCTTTTAGCAATATTCCAGCAATATCACGGCGGAGACACCAGAAATGGGCTTCACACATTGTACCACGTGGTGAATCGAACCCGGTCTTCAGCCTGACGAGTGGACACTTTATCCACAAGGCTACTCCACCGCCCCGCACTACATTATAGATGAAATGCATGTGCATATTCCTTTGAGTTCGTTGTACTGACTGACTGAGTTTGGTTTTACGCCGCTTTTAGCAATATTCCAGCAACATCACGGCGGGGGACACCAGAAATGGGTTTCATGTGGAATCGAACCCTGGTTCTCGGCATGACGAGCGAACGCCTCACCACTAGGCTATCCCATCGCCCCTATGCAGATTCCCCACATGGGTACAATGTGTGAAGCCCATTTTCTGGTGTCCCCCGCAGTGATATTGCTGGAATATTGCTAGAAGTGGCGTAAAACCATACTCACTCACTCACTGTGCAGATGATGACAGCATATTGATACACCATACTACAGTTTAACATTGACACCACACTCGGACTGTTTATAAAGTATATTTGTTTGACGGAATCGGAATTCGAACCACCGACCTTCTGTTCGGCAGCAGCTGTATCCACTAGACCACGAAGCTGATCAATTTTTGTTCCGTTCGATCAGCTCAGATACATCATAGACTGGTTGAAGTTAATGATGTAAAGAGGATGCACACTATACCGTTATCGCGTTATAAGTACCGTTCAATACTGAAACAAAACAAACCTTCCCTTGCGATACAAATTGCTATGCAAGCGAGACAGAGGATCATCCGATAAATAAATATGTACAAAAGTACACAAAAGAATTCTATCATAAAGAGCCTCCACATTAATCAAACCCCGACCTCCAGAATTGATTGGCATATATAAACGGTTAAGAGAGGAACGAGAGTGGTGGGCTCTGTTATCAGACATGATCCTTCTGGTCAGGCGGTCAAACATCTGGATGTCTTGTTTTGTCCAATCAACTACTCCAAAGGAATAGGAAAGGACTGGCACAGCAAAAGTATTGGTGGCTTTGGCCTTGTTTCGAGCATTTAGCTCTGAGCTCCAGATTTTCTTTAAGCGAGATTTGTACTCGGCCCGAAGTTTGTCTTGAATTTGGGCACTCTGGAGCTTGTCTCGAACTTGCATTCCAAGATAGGTGTAGGCCTGATCTTCCACAAGATGCTCAATAACTCCTCCCCCCTGTAACCTGACCGATCCACCATTAACTACCTTGCCACGTTTCAAATGAAGAGTATTACATTTGTCGAGTCCAAATGTCATGCCAATATCATTAGAAAAGGACTCGACAAGGAGAACCTGTTCTTTCAAATTGGTATCTCCTTTGGCAAAGAGCTCGATGTCATCCATGTAAAGGAGATGAGTAAGCGGTGTTGGGGATCTGTGCTGAGGAGGTCCAGGATTATTAATATTAATATTAATAATTATAATTAATATTAATAATTATTATTATTAATAATATGAATATATAATATTAATGTTATTATTATTATTATCGCTCTTTAAAGATGATTGGTGTATGACGTGAAATTTGCATATGTACGATTTAAAAAAAACCCGGCTAGACACAAACACCAACAACTGTGTGATGCAAGATGACTGTCCAAATTAATGTCAAATTAATGGTCTACAGTGGTTTATCGACCTGCTTAAAAGCCGTCAAAATCAAGAATGACACCCCGTGCACGTGCATGGGGCTACTGCGTTGTGCACGTGCATCCCGTGTGTTGTGTTCAGGAATGGTGATAAAGAGAAATGGTGGTGCGTTCATAAGATGTCTGTCTTTAAAAAGTTTGTTAACGCTTATACTTCCTACCCAAATTGAAAGTTCAAGTTCCCCTACTTTTTTTGAAGAGCATATATAGAGTGTATCTCTCTAGTACGTATGTATTTGTGAGTGAGAAACAGCAAAATAACTGAAATACAATGTACTATGACACCAGCTTCAGTAAACAGTAAACACCAGTAACAGTAAACGCCAGCAGCAGTGGGCGTGGCCATTAATTTACTAAGCAGGAAACAGAAACACCAGACTCATGGTAAACTGGTATCATACACAGTGTGTCCCCTGAAATAATCTAGAAATACAGCCAACAACTCTTATAACGAGCACGTTTATAACGAACTGACGGATATAACGAACAGTATTTTCCCCGGCCACTTGCTGTATGTTATAGTGAGTGAGTGTGGTTTTACGCCGCTTTTAGCAATATTCCAGCAATATCACGGCGGAGACACCAGAAATGGGCTTCACACATTGTACCACGTGGTGAATCGAACCCGGTCTTCAGCCTGACGAGTGGACACTTTATCCACAAGGCTACTCCACCGCCCCGCACTACATTATAGATGAAATGCATGTGCATATTCCTTTGAGTTCGTTGTACTGACTGACTGAGTTTGGTTTTACGCCGCTTTTAGCAATATTCCAGCAACATCACGGCGGGGGACACCAGAAATGGGCTTCACACATTGTACCCATGTGGGGATTCGAACCCGGGTCTTCGGCGTGACGAGAGAACGCTTTAACCACTAAGCTACCCCACCGCCCCGAGTTCGTTGTAACTACAGTTTAATGTACAATAATGTCATATGGACATACTGATATTTCTCTGGAATAAACGTTTATATTTCTTAAGACACAACCGAGAATTCGCAGCATTGACTTCATGAGCTGTAACCACGTTGGGAACGTTCTCGCAACATCCGCGACACCTACACGACAACGATATGCGTTTACCCTTGATTGTAAGACACCAATGAGAGATTAATTTCACCGTTGGGAGACTCTCACCGTGCTTACATAACGTATTACCGTATAGATGTTTGGCAGCAACCTATTTCAGTACCTGTCGCCTGTCCATTAGCGGGTACCGATCGATACACTGATTACATAGAGATGTTATAGGGCTAGTGGTGATTAAGTAGTCGCATTGCTTGTCACGGGCGGAGACTTGTCGCTGCGTCAGTTCCCTATTCACTTCAGCCTTAGTGAAGCACATTTGTGTCGGATTTACCATTGTGTGGAATCGGCATTTATTCCATGGAATTGCTGGGTTACAGATCCGCAAGTCAGTCTTCGAGCCGTGGAGGGTGAAGTGCAAACATTGTGACGTTGTGGACGTTGACGTTTTTATTAGTGCTGCCACACGCTCGGAAAGACTGCGTCATTTTAATGACAACTTGCTTCCATGGTATTCGGAGCAGTTGACAAGAACGTTGCTGTTTAAATGTGAATCAATTAATGGGTTTTTTGCAAATAGAGTTTCAAATGTCAAGTTTCGCTGTTGAAGACGAAATCTATACTGCTGCAGGATGACTAGCTCTGATTCTGTAGATGACTCAGAAGAAAACATGTCAGTGTGTATAAGATCTCGAAGAATGTTTTTATGTATGGATGGGTTAGTTCGTTGACTTTGTGTGCTGGCGGCTCGGTGCCTGACTCTTGGAGTATGGGACTCAACATTACATCAGTACTAAAATCTGTACTTCACTGAGAAAACGTAATCCCAAATATAACATATGTTATAAACGAGACATGTTTCATGAATAAATGTGTAGAATTTCTGATTTCTGAATAACTCAAAAACCAAAAACATTGATAACTTAAAACAAATCTGGCAACATAACTGACATTATTCCATATCAGAAATAAAATATTCAAGACTAAAATGTGCCACGAATCCAAGACCTATTTATGCATTGCATGTAGGGCGGTCAGGTAGCCGATGTCCCGGGTTCGATTCCAACATGGGTACAATGTGTGAAGCCCATTTCCCCAACCGTGATGTTGCTAGAATATTGGTAAAAGCGCCGTAAACCATATACTCACTCACTGTAAACCATGAAGAAGCTGTGATGATGATGATGATGGGTTGAGAAACTGGCAAGGTATTGTCTTTGAGATGGGTGTGAAGTGTTAACATGTGACCTGTGTCATTTATTACTCGATTATGGCTACAAATAGTTATACTGAATATGCTGCTATTGTAGCACACATACATGGGTCAAATGTTCAAGAATATGCTTTCATTTGCCTTTTAGGAACTGTATTCACCTATAAGTGAATTATATTTGATATTGAAGTGAGTAATATTTGATGTTGAATCAATAATATGAATAGTCCGCTTATATGGCGCTCATATCCAGGCACATTGCCTGCTCACGGCGCTACGTACATTACTATAGCCCAGTCATAGACACTAGCGTACTTTCCGATACTTTTTCAACTCCCTGGAGTGAAACAATATCCCAGCTATATGACTAATCGCTATTAAGTATATGACCCCTGCTGTATATCTATGGATGAACAATAATTCTTGGGATGTTGCAGTTGCTGGTGGCGTTAGAGGTGGCGTTGGTCATCTTGAGGGAGAGGATGCGGGGACCGGCGAAGACCCCGGCGGGGCCACAGACAGCTGGAGAAGGGGGTGAGTCTCTCTGTGTTAATTTAAGGGCCGCAATGTTGTAATTGAAATACTGCTTACTGTGGCGTTAGATAACACTCACTCACTGACTGTAAAATTCCGTAGGTGTTGTGGGTGGAGCGTCTGATAGAAGATCAGAGTTCGATCCTTGTCCTCGTCATACCAGACGCCGATACAGTATGGCATTTGTTGTTGCCCCGCCTGGTTCTCGGCAGTACTTGGTTGTTTGTTGTTGCCCCGCCTGGTTCTCGGCAGTACTTGGTTGTTTGTTGTTGCCCCGCCCAGCAATATTCCATCTATATGACGGTGCTCTGTAAATAATCGAATCTGGACCAGACAATCCAGTGATTCACATCATTAGCATCGATCTAAGCAAATGGAATACGATGACATGCTGGATAGGAAAGAGACAAGTACAGCTGGTCAGTATGATGTGTCTGGCTGGTTGATCCTTGTCAGTGGTCGAGGAATGTAAAATCGGCTTTGGTCGTGTTGGTTGGCTTGTTGTTAAACGCCGCACTCAGCCATATTCCAGCATCGAGTCTGGACCAGACAATCCACTGATCAATCAACAGCATGAGCATCAATCTACGCAATTGGGAACCGATGACATGTGTCAACCAAGTCCGCGAGTCTGACCACCCGATTCCGTTAGTCAAGCATAAGTTGCTGAAGATCAATTCTAACCCGGATCTTCACAGGTTGGCTTTAGTCGGGACTACAAGCAGCCGCTCACATGCACGCACCCACGCACTCACGCACGCACACACAGACCAGCTTACACGTCACCACAATAATCGTCATCGCAACTTTAAGCCCCATTTCATCACGCCTCCAATATTTAGGTTGTAACTTTATTGTAACCGTACGTCACCTCGATGATGGAGATATAACGGTAAACAAAGACAAACCTAAATCTCCTTCAAACGAACACTCACTTTGATGAAGTCTTTGAAGGCTACTTTAGTTAAAACATGCTGCAGATTAAAATAAGACGCCTTTCTTTCCGCTCGGTCTCAAAGGAACCTTCTAATAGTTCCATCGGTTGCTGTAGGATTCCAAGGACTGGAATCGGTTTACAATGGCTCGGCGTGACAAGGTTGTCCCGAGGGACAATCAATTGTCTCCAGTGTTCAAACAGGGTGGCGGAGATTGTGTGAACAAGAAATTGGGTTTCTTTGACAGCCTCTTGTCTGGCGGTAGATAGTGTCACTTGTGGCTTTCATCTACGTTTTAAGGCTGACGAATTGCCGGTATAATTAGATTTATCTGAATTTGTGTTGAGGTAAAATTGTTTTCTTAAGTGATGAGCTTACGCTAGGTAGTTTAAGGAAGACACTTTAGCGTGGTGGATTACACAACGTTATGGATGGCTTGTCAGATGGTAATGGTAGTCTGTGGTTGTAGGTCGGATAACTACATCTCGTCCAAGGGTTGGTCAGCAGTATGATTTATGCCGTTTTTAACAATTTTCCAGCTTTATCACGGTATATCAGCACCTGGCTTCACGCACTAACCATTTTTGAAAAAAGAACATGACATATGACGTAATGAGCAAATAATAATATTGAAGACATTGACTCCAAGATGGCTGATTGTCTGTGCAGTAAGGACTAAAGCTTGACTTGGTAATGTTGTATTGCGGGTGTTGTGGTGAATGGGTTTAAGTGTAGGTCTTACATGGGAGGGCCTGTAGGTCGAGCTGTAGGTCTAACATGGTCCCCTTAGTATTGCAGGTGTAGGTCCAGCTGTAGGTCTAACGTGGTCCCTTGTATTGCAGGTGTCGGTCCAGGTGTATTGCAGGTGTAGGTCCAGCTGTAGGTCTAACACGGTCTCTTGTATTGCAGGTGTAGGTCCAGCTGTTGGTCTAACGTGGTCCCTTGTATTGCAGGTGTGGGTCCAGCTGTATTGCAGGTGTAGGTCCAGCTGTAGGTCTAACACGGTCCCTTGTATTGCAGGTGTAGGTCTAACGTGGTCCCTTGTATTGCAGGTGTAGGTCCAGCTGTAGGTCTAACACGGTCCCTTGTATTGCAGGTGTCCAGCTGTAGGTCTAACACGGTCCCTTTTATTGCAGGTCTAACGTGGTCCCTTGTATTGCAGGTGTAGGTCAGGTGTAGGTCAGCTGTAGGTCTAACACGGTCCCTTGTATTGCAGGTGTAGGTCCAGCTGGTGTAACGGTCCAGCTGTGGGTCCAGCTAACGTGTAGGTCCAGCTGTAGGTCTAACACGGTCCCTTGTATTGCAGGTGTAGGTCCAGCTGTAGGTCTAACGTGGTCCCTTGTATTGCAGGTCAGGGTCCAGGTGTATTGCAGGTGTAGGTCCAGCTGTAGGTCTAACACGGTCCCTTGTATTGCAGGTGTAGGTCCAGGTGTAGGTCTAACGTGGTCCCTTGTATTGCAGGTGTGGGTCCAGCTGTATTGCAGGTGTAGGTCCAGCTGTAGGTCTAACACGGTCCCTTGTATTGCAGGTGTAGGTCCAGCTGTAGGTCTAACGTGGTCCCTTGTATTGCAGGTGTAGGTCCAGCTGTTGGTCTAACGTGGTCCCTTGTATTGCAGGTGTAGGTCCAGCTGTAGGTCTAACACGGTCTCTTGTATTGCAGGTGTCGGTCCAGCTGTAGGTCTAACGTGGTCCCTTGTATTGCAGGTGTCGGTCCAGCTGTAGGTCTAACGTGGTCCCTTGTATTGCAGGTGTGGGTCCAGCTGTAGGTCTAACACGGTCCCTTGTATTGCAGGTGTAAAATCCAGCTGTAGGTCTAACGTCCAGCAGGTGTGGGTCCAGCTGTAGGTCTAACGTGGTCCCTTGTATTGCAGGTGTGGGTGGTTTTGGCTGGATCAGGAAGTGCTGCGCCACCAGTCCGAGGGATGTGTTCCTGATAACCCTCCTTGCCGCCATCTCCGTCTTCCTCTTTGATGGTCTGCAGGTGAGTCGATCAGCTGACGTTACACCGCTCTGATCATTAGATTCAGCAGACACATTTCTCCTCGTCAGTTCCATGTTGAAGACAATCAAGGGTCATGTACGCTAGATCGGTTGACAAGTTCGCCTGTCTCAGCATGGTGCAGATGTGCCAAGATGCATTATGGCGAATCTGGGATCCTGGCACACGTAAGGGACGCAACTTTGGCAAGCCGAACATCACGTGAGCCGTGTCATCAGCGCCAAGGGCGACAGTTTCAGCCCTGACTATATAATATTACATAAAAGCACGTATATGGTGCTGTTAAGAAGATGACGATATCCAGATAAGTTGTGTATTTGCGTAAAGTACGAAGACAAAGTTACAGTTAATTTGAGCTGCTTGTGTACGATAGGCAATGCAGTGTTACAGACAAAAGACATGGCTGGGTGACGTGTTTGGGAGTCGACCTTGACCCATTGCTTATAATATCAACCAATGTATTGTCAAGCGAATATTTTACGACCTCAGTCATGCAGCTGGAACATTGCTGTGTGTGGGGTTAACCCAAATCCCCTCCCACTCCAAAAAAGAGATATATAAAGTGAAATAAAATAAAGTAAAAAAAGGTAAATAATTAAAACTAACTTGCACCTCATCATTGGATTTTGGTCTGAATGGGACTCGGAACCTATTTCAGAATCTGTTTCAATGAGGTTCAGGTGGTGTTTAATGACTGACCTGTCTCACTTTACTCCAAAGGGGTGCATAACATGATGAAACATCATTTCTTCCTTCTCCCTAACATATCTCTGTCTCCTGAACGTCTCCGTCTCCCTCTTCAGTCCACATACGCCAACTACATCTACACCTACGCCCACGAAGCCAGCGTCAAGTCTCTACAGAAATACGAAGGTGCTATTCTCGATGCCTGTTTCTGGGTGAGTATGCCATCGATACAGGGAAACCTACCTAAGCTGCACACTAATGAATCGTGCTCTGGAGATTTATACTATTCGGCGTTATTTAATATGCTGTCCTATTATCTGTTGTGAAATAAAGGGTGACACCTACAGGAAAGCGGCCGCGAATGATTTGATAAATTGAATCTGTTTAATCAACGCTTTATTGTAATATACGCATTTCTAAGGTTCATATTTAATATAACCGAATATCATCATAATATCCTAAAAACACGCAATCGTAGGATTTCTTTTTTGGAAATGATCTTAACTGTATCACAGGTTTGCTTTAGCCTTTTTTGGAAACAATTGCAGGGAAGTATGTATTGATATAATGTATTGATCTTCCACTGTACATGTATTTTACATGTAATCAGGCATTATTTATGAAGTAAACAATGCTGTATACGATTAAGGCCTTTATGACTGGTCATTTCACTTTTGAGTAAACAAGAATAAATAATATGAAATATGCAGTTGTATAGGATTAGCCTTGAACATTTTAAATGGCAGTATGTATTCTAGAAACATATAATCTGTCAGTGATGAATATTGTTCAGTGTTATAAATATTACTAATGAATGTTATATATACTCAGTATATTATATATCCCATGGGTATGTTATATAGTTGAGTAAAATTCTAGCTTCCTTTCATCACGCCAAATGCAATATCAGCACCGAAATCCATTAACGAATACCGCCAGTGCAACTCTATACTTTATGCTGACATGGCAATCATGACACCAGACACGAATTGGTTCAACGGAAGACAATGCAAATTATAATGTCAGACTAACATGCGATACAATTTGCGTCTATTTCGAGAACATAATTAGATCAATTAACTCCGCTAGTGTTTCAGATGAATTGTCATTTTACACCACCCTATATTTTGCAGGGTATGTTTGCATTCGGGCGACTAATATCGGTTCCCGCAGCCGCCAAGTTCACCCCGGGCTTCATGCTGTTGTGCAGTATTGTAAGTACGCCATATATCTCCTCCTCGTCGACATCCTACCGAGATCGATTCCACCACATGCAGTACAATGCAGTAGATAGGAAGCTAGTGATTTGTTGTTTTTCAGGACAGAGTATTCTCGCGTCCATTTGGAACATCTGGGCGCCATAAAAGCTTTAATGAAATAAAAAATCCATAAAATATATAATGTTGTTGACAAGGGAACGATCTATAGGACTAGTGAATTCAGACTGAAGGGATTGGCCTTTTCCTATTGTAAAGTAAGTGTTTACGACGACGTAAATAATGTTTTCTCAAGGCAGGTTGATTTGTTGTGTTTCTCCACAAACAAAGTATACGTAAAATACATGTGTCCTCGTTAAGCCGTCATAACGGACGTAGATCTGTCAGACGGACATGCCTGAATCATCTTATTAATGGACTGACCACTTGTGTCCATGAATAACGCATGTATGGTAAAATATTGGGCGGAATGCGCGTGTACTAATAGGTCCCGTACGTAGGTCACGGCACTTCGCCAGACCTTAGTACTCCCGGTGACAAACAACGTTCACCTGGTCCGGTCTAGTAAGGTCTTATTTGGCGGTCGCGCAATTTCGAACCAGAACTGGTTCTTGAATATGCGCCTGTCACCGGAAATCTGTTACCGGAAGTAAGCTGGGCCCCGTCTCGCATATCGCAAGTTGGTGCGCACAAAGGGAGCCGGGAACCAGCTTAGTACCGGAAGTAGCGCCTCGGGGGGGGACTTACGGGCCCTCTATGCACTGCAGGACGCCCCGAACATAAAGGACAGCATACCTATCTCAATATTATGGGCAAAATGTTCGTATGCGACTGTGTAGTACATAATGTTAGTATGCTGATAAAAAGGGGTTTTCGTAAGCCTTCTAACCTAAAGAGCATGAGTTACATATTGTAATATTATGGGCAGCGTTTTGATCAGTGTTATGTTAATTGTTACTGTGGCTTCTGAACAAGTCTTCAGGGGTTTCATCATTGGTATTTGACTCCGCACTTTGCAACGTTGTCAGAAGCGGCGTTAAATCCACCATCCCCTCTCATTGCACACTTACTCTAAGACCTACGTTTGGGAACATTTTGGGGAAATGTTAAATACAAGGGTATTAAAGGGTGACTATGACTGTGACTATGACTTTCATGGTGTGGTGTTCACTTTAGTGCAAAGTCTTAATGTTTAAATTAGAGATTTTAGATATACTAGAGGTTTATTAATGTAATTTCCTACCCGTTTTTACTGGGATGAACATCAGCTGAAGATTTAAAATTTACTTGCACTTGCATGTGTTTGTGACGTGTGCAGCCCAACTTTTCAAGAACATCTTGTATCGTCTCTCTTTGATAGTGTTTCCTACGACCATGCTTATGCTATTGTTGGAATTCTACACCAGCAGCGATGTCATATGATTAGTGGTTTGTCGCCATGGCTGCCATTTGTTCTGAGCGGAGTCCGCCTTTAACGATGTTCTTCTGTTCCAGGTTGGTTGCAGTCTCGCCCTAGTGTTCACCCTCATCTTCAGATTCAGTCACGTCACCATCTACATCGGCACGTGCTTTGTTGGGTTGTTTGTCAGCAGCATGTCGCCGTCGGCGCTGTCGCTCACAGAGCAGTTCATTGACATGAATTGTGAGTACCGTCAATACGACATCGTTTTGATCATTGCAGATGCCGTCTCGAAATTAGGGTTTTCAGTGTGATTTATTATAGGATATTTATATAACGCACATATCAAGGCAACTAGTGCATGCTCAAGGCGCTGGTATATTTTCCCTCGATCACTGGATGTCAATCTCAACGGCACATCGTATTATCAATCTCAACTCCCTGGGGAGTATACAACTGTTGCAGCCACTAGGCGCAGCGAGTTATTGTGGCGGTCTCATCCTTACGAGGTTTCCATTCACAGCTGGTTGGACTGGGACACATGGTCACAGTACTCCTTTTAAGACACCTTTATCGAAGCTCTGGTACCATACATTTATTTCACTTCATATTTTGTACATTTATATATCGATACAACTATGGACCCGTGCAAATCCGGGTTAGAATGGTCTCCAACAACTCATGCTTGTCGAATGAGGCAACTAACGGGATCGGGTGGTCAGGCTCACTGACTTGGTTGACACATGTCTTCGTATCCCAATTGCGTCGATCGATGCTCATGATGTTGATCACTGGATTGTCTGGTCCAGACTCGATTATTTACAGACCGCTGTCATATAGCTGGAATATTGCTGAGTGCGGCGTAAAACATCAAACAGACAAAGTTAGAGTTACAACTATGGATATAACAATCAAGTGACGTCAGGTCCGACTGTACTCTTGAAACATACAAAATATATTGGTATGGTGGCCATCTAGTGCATGAGTTAATATGAACTGTTTAGGTGTCATTGATTTGAGGCGCCCTTAGTTTAGTTCATTTAATCACTGTAATAGTTTTTGAATTACCTGACCTTCACCATCGTCTTGCAGCATCCATCACAACGTGCCTGATAGTGATGGCTGCCCTGGGGGAGGCTCTGTGTCCAATCATTGTTGGCAATGTGAGTACCGCTACTTACACTCAGACTGTGATCCTCAAAATTGAATGTCCGTCGAAGAGCTGCGGTTCGTTGGTTAAAAAAACAACGTCATAGTACGAACAGACGTTACTCAACTTGAAAAGACTGAACTTCATAGTTATAACATGATTCTCGGTCACCATTCAAGTCCATTGGTTAAAGTCTTCACACGTCACCGAACACCCGGGTTCGATTCCCCACAGGGCTACAATGTGTGAAGCCCATTTCTGGTGTCCCCCGCCGTGATATTGCTGGCATAGTGTTAGAAACGACGTAAATCTGAACTCACTCACTCACTTAGGAACTTAGTAGATATAGTTTAATATCTTTCACTGATACATACTGGGAGGCCTGTAAATGTCCCATCATCGGATCTCAAGTTTACAAATCTATGTTAATGTGCTCCGAGTTTACATTCCTTGAAATGTCTTGACAGTATAGTTAAACATGTCCTTGTGGCTTTACCTTCAGCTGGTGGTTTCTCTTGGGGCGACGAGTTTTCTGGCCTTCTGCTTTACAATAGTCCTGGTGACACTCGTGCTGTACTGGGCTCTCTACATGGCCGGGAAACAGATGGCCAAATACCAAGGTGAGTTCTAGACACTTCTACTCTACTGGGCTCTCTACATGGCCGGGAAACAGATGGCCAAATATCAAGGTGAGTTCTAGACACTTCTACTCTACTGGGCTCTCTACATGGCCGGGAAACAGATGGCCAAGTATCAAGGTGAGTTCTAGACACTTCTCCTGTACTATACCCTTAGCTCCAGTCGCTTCTTCTGACTGGGCTGTCTACAAGTCCGGAAAGGAGATGGCCAAAATTAAGGTGAGTTCTAGACGCTTCTACCGAACTGGGCTGTCTACAAGTCCTGCAAGGAGATGGCAAGAAATTAAGGTGAGTTCTAGACGCTCTATACTGTACTATATCCCAAGTCTCGCTCCTACTGCACTGGGCTGTCTACTTGATGAACTGCAAGTGTTCAAATAACAAGGTGAGTCTGTGAGTCAGCAACTCTGTACAACACTCCTACGTATAACTTCCAGGATGTTGAAAGACAAGGGGTGACCGTTCCAGTGCAAATTTAGACTCAAATTTATTAAATTTAAAATTAAGCACTTTTCCCTTAATGTTTTTTAAGTTGTTATAATGGCATATTTCCTCCGATAGAGTCGTCAGGTGTAGACACTTAAAGGGGCTAACGTGATAAATGTGGTGTAAAATTGCATTCACTTTCATTATCTGTATTAAAACAAGTTCTTGGTTTGTATATTAGAATAAGATATCAGAGCTACATATAACTTTTTGGGTCATTGAGTTATGTACTCGCTTGTGTTCATCTCAGTTGGGTATCCTAATTTTCCGTTGAGTAACCAAATAAATTGTACTCACCTCACTCAAACTCAATAGGGTACTTTGCCATTTTTAATTAATTGTAAAAATATATTAAAGTTTAAATGTTAGTGTTTGTTATGTTTGATCTGTAATATGAGAAACGATCAGAAAGACTGCAAGTTGTCAAGTTCATGTCCTGAAATAGAACCTCTCCGTATACGTCAGTTATTTTATCTATCCACCGGTACTCAAGCTAAGACTTGACATTTTTGTGTATACGCATGTAAGATCACATTTATTGAGTATTTACAAAACTTCAAGCGTACTTGTACGCAATATACTTAATAGGAATTGAGTTTTCACATAAATATTTGCGTAATTTACGCAGATACGCAACTTATCTGTACCTCTGTTATCTTTATATTTTCAGTTGCCAGTGCAAGATCGTTCGTGTGGTTGAGCAACAACCCTGTGGCTGCTGCAGGGGAGAGCACTCTGATCGACCCGTCAAGTGTCAAGTATTACTCGCGCATGCCGGAGAGTGACAGTAACGTGGAGATGGCCGCCATGGAACCTCATCAACCAAACAACGCTGAGCATCGACAACCATATGAATCTTAGTTTAACAAATCTGACAAATATCTATTTTATATTTCATTGTTGCGCTAATGAATATATATATATATATGCAATACTACATATACACAATACCCTGTTGTAATCGTTGGTATACTGTTATATATGATAAATATATATGTGATGTGTTAAATCTTTTGAAGTTTCAAAATTATATATGTAACCATGTATTAGAAAAAATTATGTTAGTTTTTGTGGGGACTGACCATTTCATATGTTGGAGGCGGGTAGGGGAAGGAGGTGGGGTGGATAGGTTGGGGGGGGGATGTGTGTGTGGGTGGGTGTGGGGGTAGGCTGCGGACGTACTGGTATTTTTTATCAGGGACATATAATTAAAACCATGAACCAATGACTGTATTTCAACGATGTAAATTTGAAAAACAAATATTCTGGTTAAATTTCAGTTTTTCGATAATATCCCAGACCCCCACCCCCGTCAACCAAGAATATCAAGTGGTCGGTTGTACTGTTCTGATCGAATTTTATTAATTCAGTCATTGCAGATTTAACAAATGTTTTTCTAGTGAATATGAGCAGCGCATGGGTTAAACGCCCTTCATCAAATCAACTAGCTTTATCTGCTAAAACATCACTCTCTATCTGCCTTCCCTGCCCTGCCCCTCATCTCCAGTTACCTCCCTTCTTCTTCTGACCCCTTGGGGTAGGGTTCACTGTCTAACACCCTATCTAATTCCCATATGTACATAAAGTGTTTCAGTAATCGTCGACAGTTGAGATGGGGAAGCCGTGACATTTGATTGGCCTGTATTTGTGTGCATAGGGCGTAACCACGAATTAAATACTGTGTTGTGATTGGATGGAAACATAATGGGCGGGGGTTGTGATGCATTATTGCGTCGAATAACGTCCCACTTTGTGTGTTGTCTAATCTTGATGATTGTTTTGGGTGTAAAAGCAGTCAGCGAAGTTATTTTTGAGGTATAAACATGAAAAACGTTTCCTCGATAAACACGGACAGCATTGAAGTCATCTCAAATAAAACACTTTAATTGGCGGACTTTATTAAACTGTGAAATCTGTAATGATACGTGAAGGGATACAGCAATATAACTCTAAAAATCATCTTAAATTATCATTGATTACGTTTTTAAGGTAAGCCCCATTGTTAAGTTGAAACCCGAGTATTCTGTAACAAAGATCAAATCATGAATACACAATGCCATTTAGAAAGTGATCAAATGAAACTTATGTTACATTTGGGATTACACTTTCTCAGAAAAGATGCTAGTACTTTTGTTAGGTTGAACCCCATGCGAGTCAGCGTCTAATCGCCAGCACACAGAGCCGGACATCTAACCCACTCAGCCACCACGGGTTCCACTAAACTATCAAGCTGGTCCTGTTTAGAAGCAGGTATTTCTACATTCAGTATTTGTGGACACGTGAAACGTGGTACAACTACCAGCCATCACCGCTACTTATGTTCTCCACGTCATTAACAATAAACCCATCTCCTCCACCCCAAACATAAGCCCTCCCACCCCACTCCGTGTTGCTACACCCTACGATCACGCTTAGACTCGCCATTTCTTACCTGAACGCCTGCCCTCCCGTTCTCAGTGCACGCCCATACCTTACCCCACCGCTCCCCCACCCTTTCCTACTGTATCTGACCCCAGGTATTCATCGCCAGTATTATGTAGCGTCGTTCACGATCTAATGACGTCAACATTGTTGTGATATGTACATGTCTGTGTGTATATGTTTGTGTATATGTATATCTTTGTGTATATTGTTGATGACTGAAGTTACGTATAATGTTGTTATTTACCATTATGGAGTGTGAAACTTTCACGGTAATATGTAAAACAGTTTCACTCGCCACGTGCTGAATCATTATCGCCTCTTTGCGTATAGTATATAATATATTCAGCCTACGTGAAGTGAATTGAGAACAACAATTTAAAGTTTAAAATGTGTTAAATGTAAAAGAAACGTAACATGGGGCTCACAAAACTGTGACAATATTATTTCCACAATTTAAAAACAGAATCAGAATTTGTAAATTTACAACCAAAACGTTACGTATAATACGCTGGAATTAGGAGCTGAATGTGAAACGTTCTGTTTGTGTTCCATGTGTTTATAGTGGTCAACAGTCGGTTACAACAGTCGGCTACAACAGATGTGACTGTGATACATTGTTCATGGATGTAATTGCTCGTACGTAAATTGTCAATAAGGCGATACAGTCGAGTTTATCAGACACCAAAGGCCAGTACTATGGGGCATTTTAACCGACAGGAAACTTTGATAACGCTGTGGTTTACGAGCCTGTTTGATCAACTCAGTCATATATACTAATCTCTAGTAAAATACAATCAAACACGCTATGTTGAAGTTGAAGGAAAGAGTAAGGAAATATTTCGAATCATCCGAGGTAAAGAGAAAGATAAATGAATAACAAAAGAATACGAGGGGACTAAGCTTATATATCGAGACATCCGTGAGTTCGACACATCAATGTTGGTCTGTATATTCTTAATTTGACCAGAAACGACGAACTTCAAGAACGACTTTTTTTATGTATATCGTGCATTAATATCTCGTTTCTTCTGTGATAGATGCAAAGTTGCTGATGCGGCAATATTTACTGACTTGATAAACCTGTCGTAGTTACGATAAGTACGAACTATGGCAATCTACCCGTTGTACGTACTTCACTGAGAATAATCAACCTACCACTGATAGGTGTGATATACCCGCAAATACAAAGGGATTCTATCGTAGATCATCGCAGATCTACCCATCGTGGTATCGCGTTGACGTCACGCTAGATTAGACTTGCACTGACGCTGGGATATTTGTTCCATTTTACGTTCCATAATCCACAAGATATAATCTGTTGGAGAACCATTTTACGGTCTGTGTCAGTTACTGGAGCCAGTTTCTTCATAACATTATTTCGAAGCGTGTGTTATTTTCTCGTTCGCTGAACTTTGTTTTATATCGGAGAGCCGTTCTCCATATTGTCAGATAGTGAAAAACATGACACAACACAGCGTGTAAGTTTGAAGGTGAGCTACACGTGGGCTTGTTGATTTAGTATGATTGCTGGAAAAAGGTTTGCTCTTCAATCAAGAATTCACAAAATACAGATGATCAAACACCCAGATCGTGTTTGTTTAATCCGCTTGAATAAATGGCAGTATTATATTGACATATTGGGCATGTTTACTCCAGGTATTTCCAAGTTAAATTATATAGAAAGAAATTCAAAATTTTTCGAGAAAGTTGAATATTTCTGTAATACCACAACGAAAATATATTTACTGCTTCGAGCCATTCATAGTCCACCTCCATCATCTCAAGTGTCCAGCAAATACATGCTTCCGATCCGAGATTGCTAGCTCGAGGTAGGTATGTTCTGAAAACACTCCACCTCGGCAGATTGTAATGAGCACTAGTGGGGAACGTTTGCGCATGTCCCAAACTTTACAAGATTCGATGATGCCTGATTGAATACAAACCGTTTAGGAGACTTGGGTGGCACAGCTTAGTTATTGCTGAATTGGTGTGTATATAAACAGGAGTGTTCTTCTTATGCTCAATGAGTGTGTGTATATATGAACTGTGGTTCTCGCCCTGTCTGACGGCGTTGTGTATAATCTGTATAACCTTGTTTGATATTGTTAGTCTGTGATATTCGTTGTTATGGTGACATGTGTAGAGGATGACGGGGTGAGACGACGCTCGTGATGATGACGTCATATGTCATCACGCTAGGTACTATTGTTCACGCTTCACGATACGCATCGATATTAATGCTTTACGATACGCATCGATACTTATAGTTTACTATACGCTTCGATATTTATACTTTATGATACTTTATGACGCTTTATTATTCAGACTACGCATCGTGATGTATTTTCATGATACGCATCACAATTTACGATACGCATCACGATTTATGCTTTACGATACGCATCGGGATTTATACTTTACGATACGCATCGCGATTTATACTTTACGATACGCATCACGATTTATGCGACTTGGGTAGCCAAGTGGTTGAGGCGTTCACTCTCCTCCGCGAAGTCCCGGGTCAATTCCTCACATGGGTACAATGTGTGAACCCCATTTCTGGTGTTCCTCGCAGTGATATTGCTGGAATATTGCTAAAAGCGGCGTAATACCATACTCACTCACTATCTGGCTTGGAATATAAGTGTGGTGTGTCGTTCGCCGCGAATAGCTGCAAAACTGCTGGTGCGGCGTTAAACAATACTCACTCACTCACAGTGGCTCGTCTCATCCATAACAGAACTGATCGAGCAATAAGACGATGTTATGTTTGTATCTATATCCAGATGGGTCAACCGTTTTAGGACCAAAATAACACATATGTATAAAAGAGACTATAGTTGATGTTTCGTCTACATCAGTATCTATTTATCAGGTGTGCAATAAAGGTTTCTGTTCCTGGCTGTGTATCACGCGGAGTATTCTACAAAACAGTTCAAGGACCACGTGGTCGATGGGCGGTGACTGAACCCTCATTTTGGAGGTGTTGGGTAGTTTCTTGCAAAGCAATACTTTATACATTGTTGATGTTGCCACAGCTGTAACTGGACACGTTCCCTGACAACCGCTATCAGCAATAATAACAACGGGGTAACTGTTCTAACGCCGGTTCTTCATATTCGGCATGGTTTCAGAAGATCTTAATGCTCACAGCAATATATCTGTCTTCAATATATGTCGCCAGTCTGTTGGCGGGTCGTGGTAGAACCAGATTACTTTGTGTATTGTATCTTAGTGAAGGTGGATCTCAGATGACCTACCGTTATGTAGATGTACTGTAAATCATGAAACTCGTGCGTCAGCAAATTAATGTGAGTGTTGACCATCAGGTCTAAATGCATTATGAAATTAATGCGAGTAGCCGTTTTGAACAATAACAAGGCATAGCTAACGACATGACGAAAACTTTAGGCTGGAGTGAGGATTTAAAGTTTTACTCCTAAAGTCTTCGTGTTATCGTTGGCTGTACGTTTATATTGTTCAGGGTGTTCTGTAGGGTGATAGCAATTCAATTTAAGAATAAAATTGGTTATCTTCACAAACCTAACTCTGACATGAAATCAAAGCAGGATATTCCTGTAGCGGATATTCAAATGAAATAGGTCAGGTCACCGATCAAGATTGTACAGGTTCCAACAGTTGTTACACAAGTTGAATGAGGAGAGTTAAAAATTCAGCACGACTGCTCTACAATACATGTACCCTACAGTTGACCACGGATACCATATTGCATAGAATTCATGATTTACAGTCCCTCATAAGGGTGAGTCAACTGTTTAGCATATCTCTATATATACACTTTATTTATTTACAATGCTTTGTAGGTATAAGTGTCATACTGATATAAAATCTTATTGGTCTGGGCCACTTCCCACTAGGTAGTGGTGCGACTGTCGTCGGGTGCCTCTGTTTCGTATACGACAGTGGTATACCTGGGTCTCGTGGAAGTGTTTTGGAGTGAGCAAATCACCCAGATAGCGACAGCGATTAGATATTTTAGCGCCGCTTCAAGCACAAGGCATCGTCAAAATGGTGTTGAGTTGTTGACGCCGGTCGCTGCTGCGGGTGATCGGCGGTTGAGACGATGTGAATGTTAGCCTTTAGCTGTTGAACATTCGTAATATATATCACCAGAAATAAACGTTAACACACAGGTGTTCTTGCGTTTTGATTAATAATTATTAGAGTGGTGGTGGCATGTGGTCTCAGGTCACAAACCAGGTGAAGTTAAGCAACGCTGGGCGCGGAGAGCGCTTGGGTGGCTGACCGTGTTTGGCAGCTTGACTCCTGAGAGTTCCTAGGGCTGCAGGCATGTGGTCTGACCTTAGGCAAGTGAGTTTGTTCAAAATTGGCTCTGTTCACCCAGCAGAAAATGGGTACCCGGTGGGATAAAGGCATGTGACTATAACCCTCTAGCGCCAAACAGGCAGCTTGGGTTATCCGGAGTCATAATGGAGCAATGGGCACGATGAATGAAATATTATTACATTAATGGTATCATGACAGATTGTATCTGCTAGAGGCGGGCGCTGTAGTAGCATAGAGTTTTGTTGTTGGTGGTGGGTTTTTGTTTTACGCCGCACTCAGCAGTATTTCAGCTATATGACGGCGGTCTGTAAATGATTGAGTCTGGACCAGACAATCCGGTGATCGATATCATGAACATCGATCTACGA